ATACTTCTTCATTTGAATAGCTTAACTGACTACTTGATATTTTTCAGAATAAACATGAAAGTCAAATTTTCAAATAAAATTTGTAATATATTTTTAAACAGAACTATATAATCGAATTGAACGTTAAGAATTTCTATTTGCAAATATTAGATTTTTATTAAGTATTTACTTTGCAACAACATTATTACTTTAATTGTAATACAACCAATCACTGCATGCATATTCGTATTGAGCAAATAAAAGCTTTTATTAACATTTAAGCTATATATTAGTTTGATTAGTTTACTAAAAAGCAAAAATAGCTGCTTGCTTGTAAGACCTTTGAAGAACTTTGCCTAACTTACATCTGTAAATTTTCAACTACTCTGCTTAAAAACTAATGAGGCTGAATGAAGCAACAAATAATCTATCTCATTAACAGAATTTAATTAGCAATTTAAGATAACAAGATCAGTTGATGCGATTTTTTAGCATTTTATTTTGGTATCACAAAAAAAATATTTGCGAATTTTTATTTTTAAAATATGTGCGGAAATTTTTAGTACCAAAATAGTATTTAGTACTGAAAATTTCAACAGTTTTTCAAATAATAATTGAAAAACTGCTTAAATAAATGAGAGCTTCAAAATTCACTTTTAAAATTCATATTAAGCTTGTGCTAAAAAAATTAGTGCAAATTGAGGTATTTAAAAAGATCGATCTTGTGGTTTAACTATGAGTTTATTTAACCTATATTATATGTAAAATTTTTGCATAAATCTAAAAGCTGTCTCTTTTTTACAGTATTTAATGTTTCAAACTGTATGTAACTGTATTGAAAATATCGCATCGTTTGGAGTTACTTTTTATTTGTATTATTTTTAAATATTTTCTTATTTCCTTAACTAGCTTTACTCGTCACTCATTACTTATTCAGAGTAAAATTTCATTAAAAACTTCAAAAATGCTTTCTAACCAAAAATACTTTTACTTCAATGCTAACTATGTTAATATTAGAAAAATTGAATGCATTTAGATTATATTTTTTGAATTAAATAGACAAATCAATTTCCTTCCAATCTCATTTTTGTGTGTATTTCTGCTGCATTCATCACATTCAATGATTTACTCTTTAGATATAAATTAATTTTGCTTCTGCACTGAATTTGCGATTTTGTGCTTTCAAGAATGACTGATCGACTTGATATGTGAGCTTTTTTGAAAAAAAATTCTTAGCTATTAATATTACTGACTTGTCGCTGCCTTCTGTAATCAGATCTTGTTGCTTACTACTTTTTTATTATCAATAATCCATCAGAACAATCTCTCTAGAAAATATTAAATTAATTTAACATACAAATAATTATATGACAAAAATGATTGGCACATAAACATTACTGTACAAAATTACAAAAATCTAAAACTATCATTACTTGTTGAAGTA